ACCGGGGCTGGTGTTTTTACATGGGCAAGGTTTTGGAAAAAACTTTGGGAATCATAAAAAAACGGAGGTACAGGGCCCCTATGGGGATTTGTTGTCGAAAGAAGTCCCGTGATCTGAAGTGGTCCCAGTTGGCATTTTAAAAAAAAGAAGGGAAGTAACCCCCGAAAGGCTTGCCACTAAGTCTTAATGGAAGGGGGTTCCCCTTCTTTAAAATAACACTCTCTCTCCCCCCCTCCCCCATTTAACATCAACCCGATCTTAAATAAAAGTAAGTGTCATTTAAATGTGATTTCCTTTTTCCGTTTGTGTGTATTAAAAAATTAAATTTATGTGGTTAAAAAAAAAATTTTTTTTATTTTTTTGGGGGTCTTGCCCCGGATTAAAATTTTTTTTCCATTATTTTTTATGGGGGGAAAAATTTATTTCACATACGATTATTTCCAAAAAAATTTTCCCCTCTTGTGGATTAAATTTGTTATGGGGGGTTCCCCTGTATTTTGGGTTGTAGGGCTAGTACACCAAAAAGGGGGGTTTGAATGAAATTGGTTCAGGGGCACCCCCCCAAACCCTTTTGTCCCTTTGGATCACAGTAAAAACCTTGTTCTGTGGGTGATGATTTTGTAGGATTTGGGGGGCCCGTGATGTTCGCTCATGTGATGTTCGCTCACCCTGAGGCAGGCCAAAACGAAATGGGTTCGAGTCCTCGGCTAGTCGCACTGTTGTTATTGAAATGTGGATAAATTATTTTATCCATAATTAGGATGTCAGGAGGGATCCCAGTTATACATGTGGACTGTTGACAATGAATGGTTGTCCAGCACAATTTGTTACTTGCTGGCTGGACAAGTGCTGTAAGGACACTAGTATTATTTATTGATTGTAACAGGGACAAAGTTTGCAGAAGAACTGACACGTATGCTAGGGATGGGGGTCCATCTTTCTAGGGCAGAGGTGGCAGTGATGGTTAGTGTAGTTGAGTTGGCTGTTGCTGCAATGTATAAGGCCTTAAACTGGGGGAAATTAGAAGTATGAATGCATGCAAAAAGATGTGATTGTGGTAAGTAAGTTTATTCAGGTACTATACACAAATACAGTTACATAGATTACTTGCTAAGCTATTAAAACATTGGGACCCAGTCCCTGGACCCATTATGTACCTCTGTAATCTTTTGACTGCCGCCCACAGGATGGGTATGGGGTGCATAATAAACATATTAAACTAACATAGATTATCATACATAGCAGCATATGTGTAAAGTACCTAGGATAACCCAAAAAAGTCAGAGAGAGTGACTTATTTCCATTGGGGTACTATTGATTTTAAAAATAACAATTTTCACAATAGTAAAATAAACCATGTTGATAAATTAGAGTAAATGAGGTAATCAGTCCCTCGGCCTTGAGTTGATGTGATCAGTCCATCAATTCTTTTCAAAATTGATGGATTGATAACATTGACTCAAGGCTGAGGGACTGATTACCTCAAACTCCTCCTGTTCTTCTCCTTTCTCCTTTGTACGGACTGAAGTCACTGTGTGGCAAAACATTTCCTCATTAAAAATACCCAAATGTTGCACATGTGTCAAATTTATCAACTTGTCGGTTCTCTGAACCATTCATCTACAAAGTAAACCATCCAAATAATAAGGAATATTTTTGTAAGAAAAACACATTCAAAAATATTAGGCAATGATAAAAACAGATAAATATAAATGGGGTAAAGTTACAAAAGAAACAAATTCAGCATATATTACAGAAGTAGTCATAGCATTATGATCAAAATAAGAACATAAGAATGGAGGAACACTGCTGAAGGCCTACTGGCCCATACAAGGCAGGTCCTTAACAAAACCACCCCTACCCTAAACTACCCAAGAATTTACTCCCGTACCCATGACACCAATCAAACCCAGCCCCTCCCACTCATATATTAGTCCAATCTATCTTTAAAGTTGCCCAAGGTCCTAGCCTTGATCACCCTACTTGGAAGACCGTTCCACACATCCACAACTCTGTTTGAAAATCAGTACTTACCTATGTCCTTTCTAAATCTAAATTTATCTAACTTAAATCCATTATTTCTGGTTCTTACCTGGTTTGACACCCTCAGTACTTTATTAATAATCACCTTTGTTTAGCCCCATCATCCACTTATACACTTCAATGATATCTCCCCTCATTCTACGTCTCTCCAGGGAGTGGAGATTCAAGGCTCAAAGTTGATCTTCATACGGGATATTCCTTACACAGTAAATCATTTTAGTCATTCTTCTCTCTATGTTCTCCAATGAGTCTATATCCATCCTGTAATAAGGAGACCAAAACTGAGCAACATAATCTAAATGAGGCCTCACTAGTGATGTATAGAGCTGTAAAATAACTTTTGGACTTCTGTTACTTATACTTCTTGAAATAAATCCTAGTAATCTGTTAGCCTTGTTGCACACATTTAGGCACTGCTTTCTTGGCTTTAGAATTCTGCTTACCATGACTCCCAAGTCTTTTTCACATTCTGTATGATCAAGCTCTACTTCACCTAGTTTATAGCTTCAAGGGTTAAAATAAACAAACTAAGATAAGTGCATGTATGGGAAATGTGAACATTATTTCACTAACTGAAAACAGGGCTAATTTATAGAATATAGATGCCTGCCAAATGTATATAAATTATTTCACACTGATAGCTACAAGAAGAAAGGTAATGGAATATCTCTGTCAGAGAAAACTTGAATTGTTACATAAAAAAATATAGGTAGTAGGTTGGTAGACAGCAACCACCCAGGGAAGTACTACCGTCCTGCCAAATGACTGTGAAACAGAAACCTGTAACTGTTTTGCATGATGGTAGGATTGCTGGTGTCTTTTTCTGTCTCATAAACACGCTAGATAACAGGGAATCTTGCTACTCCAACTTACACTTTGGTCACACTTCACAGACATGCACATGCATATATATGTATATACATACATCTAGGTTTTTCTCCTTTTTCTACATAGTTCTTGTTCTTCTATTGTCCATGGGGAAGTGGAAAAGAATCTTTCCTCCGTATACCTGGCAAAGTGTATGGTAGAGTTATTATTGAAAGAATTAAGAGTAAGACGGAGAATAGGATAGCAGATGAACAAGGAGGCTTTAGGAAAGGTAGGGGGTGTGTGGACCAGGTGTTTACAGTGAAACATATAAGTGAACAGTATTTAGATAAGGCTAAAGAGGTCTTTGTGGCATTTATGGATTTGGAAAAGGCGTATGACAGGGTGGATAGGGGGGCAATGTGGCAGATGTTGCAGGTGTATGGTGTAGGAGGTAGGTTACTGAAAGCAGTGAAGAGTTTTTACGAGGATAGTGAGGCTCAAGTTAGAGTATGAAGGAAAGAGGGAAATTATTTCCCAGTAAAAGTAGGCCTTAGACAAGGATGTGTGATGTCACCGTGGTTGTTTAATATATTTATAGATGGGGTTGTAAGAGAAGTAAATGCGAGGGTCTTGGCAAGAGGCGTGGAGTTAAAAGATAAAGAATCACACATAAAGTGGGAGTTGTCACTTACGAGTCTCTGGAGACAAAGAACTTTGTCCTTGGAGGCAAAGAGGGGAATGTATGAGAGTATAGTTTTACCAACGCTCTTATATGGGTGTGAAGCATGGGTGATGAATGTTGCAGCGAGGAGAAGGCTGGAGGCAGTGGAGATGTCATGTCTGAGAGCAATGTGTGGTGTGAATATAATGCAGAGAATTCGTAGTTTGGAAGTTAGGAGGAGGTGTGGGATTACCAAAACTGTTGTCCAGAGGGCTGAGGAAGGGTTGTTGAGGTGGTTCGGACATGTGGAGAGAATGGAGCGAAACAGAATAACTTCAAGAGTGTATCAGTCTGTAGTGGAAGGAAGGGGGGTAGGGGTCAGCCTAGGAAAGGTTGGAGGGAGGGGGTAAAGGAGGTTTTGTGTGCGAGGGGCTTGGACTTCCAGCAGGCATGCGTGAGTGTGTTTGATAGGAGTGAATGGAGACAAATGGTTTTTAATACTTGACGTGCTGTTGGAGTGTGAGCAAAGTAACATTTATGAAGGGGTTCAGGGAAACTGGCAGGCCGGACTTGAGTCCTGGAGATGGGAAGTACAGTGCCTGCACTCTGAAGGAGGGGTGTTAATGTTGCAGTTTAAAAACTGTAGTGTAAAGCACCCTTCTGGCAAGACAGTGATGGAGTGAATGATGGTGAAAGTTTTTCTTTTTCGGGCCACCCTGCCTTGGTGGGAATCGGCCAGTGTGATAATAAAAAAAATAATAATAATAATTGTTATTTTTATTAGACTAAGTTTCAACATACGTATTTACCCATATCTCTGAGATATGGGTAAATATGTTGAAACTTAGCCTAATAAAAATAACAATTATTATTATTATTATTATTATTATTATACTCTTTCATGGTAGGTACCGTAGGCATAGCTCCAAGGCTCCAACCCACTCCACTCTGGCACTGTCCCACAAGGCCCAAAACAGGCATAAACACAATAGCCTAATGTATTAATCTTCCCCTGGCCCCTTTACCTGGTGCAGTAAGGTCACTGAATGGTTCATGAACCCTTACCCTCTCGTCCTGGTTCGTGCCCGGCTCGCAGTGGTCATTTATGTGTAGCTTGAATAGTGAGATAATATCTCACTTTTTCAAGCTACAAAAGTGTTGAGACCACTATTGAAAACAACAAAATTCTGTGAGATAGAGTATTCGAATCAAACTGGCAGTGAAAGTTTGTACTAACTTATTTTTATCGTTGGTACTGTATTTCCTTTTTTTACCCTTTTTATTTTTTTCGTTATATAGTTTGACTTGACTGTTACTTAGTTACTTAACGGCAGCAGCCACAAAACGGAAACAACTTACAACGACAGCTATCAGTAAAGGACTGTCTTTTTTTTTTCATCACTCTGAAGGATGCCAGTTTCAATTTTATTGTTTCAGTGGAAAATAGGTAAGCTTTGTTGAGTTAATTCCTTCTCATTCTCACAAGGAGTGTAACATGAAGCGAGCCGGGAGTGAGAGGAAGATCACCTCGTTCTTCAAGACAAAAGTGATCCCGAAGAGTGGTGATTTGGGGACCATGAAGAGGAACACTGGCACCTAGAGCAGATGGTTATGCCATTCATTTAGGTCAGTCCGCCGTAATTAACAAATTTAAGAACCGTTAGTGGAGAAACGGTAATGCTAATGCTCTTTAAAAAAACCGAAAATTCTGCCGTCGGGCCCCCCCCAAAATTTGTTCCTAGATCCGTGCCTGATCAGTGTATATAACTTGTGATAACTTATTACTACCAGCTAGGTGAGAAATTTCTTCTTGAGCAGTTGCTTTTAACAAGTGATTTAAGGAAGGGATTATAGCAATGAGCACTTGCAGGTATGTGATATTAATGAACACATCTTCCACGGAGGGGTGAAATGCTCTTCTTGCCTACAGCGCTGTATAGCCCTTGTGGCTTAGGTTCTTTTTTATTTTTAATAATAATCTTGTTGCCTACAGTGTAACAGTTCATGCAGGTTAAAACTTAAGCAATTTCACGTTTTCACAATCCATTTCGATCTGTGTGTATTTACCTCTAGACACTTGGTAAGATTCTTGTGACAGTGTCTGGTTCATTTCTCAACATTCTAATACCGAGTACAGTGTTAATCTCAACAATCCCATCACTGATACTAGGAATACCAAGCTCCTTTCCCCATGTTAAGAACTTTTGTTTTGAGTTTAGCAATTACAATTGCATATGATTATTATCATGGGGGAGCACTAAACCCCTAGGATTTACAGTGCATGGGGGGGGTGGAAGGTATTCAGGCTCAATGCAGGGGAATGGAGCAGAGATACAATTCCCTAGATTTAAGAGCCCCTCACAGCATCAAGAACCCCTTGAGGGGGTGTAGTACATGAAATTTTCAGTTATGTTGCTAATTGTATACTTTAGCTTGAATGGCTGTCACATGATTTGCTTTTAGTTTTGATATTGCAGTTTAATTTTTTCAATTTTGGTAGTACAGGAATACCGGGGATAGAGGTTAATGTTGTCAAAAAAAATATTTTACTATGCAATACCATACGTAAAGGTAGTATTATGCAGTGGACCCCCGAGTTGCGGACCCCCCACATTTCCTAAATTTCGATTTTTCAGCAATTTTTTTTCATAAAAATAGCCTTTGTTTCGTGATTTCCCTGCAGTTTTTGGGGGACAAAACACGTCCAACGGCCCCCCAAACAGCTGCACATACAAAAAGGCTCCCACACCATTCAGAGAGTCGTGTGGCATTGTTTCTGGGGCGGTGACCATCCCCCCTGCTTCATACGATACATTTATAATCCATTTTTTTTTTGTGCTTGCAACTGCTAAAAAGCCCCAGGGGCCAAAAAAGGGTGAGAAACACGAGGGAATTTAAAGAAAAAATCCGCAAAATAAAAAAGTGGAGTGCGGGGGGAGCTCAGCAGGATGTAGGAAGCCCCATTCAATGATCATTTCCCCTTGTGGCAAAAAAAAAGGAAAATCAAGGAAGCTGTTGTTGAAAAAGGGGTAGATTTGCTCCCATAAGAGATCGCAAATAACAAAGGTGTTGAAAAAATTTGTTGTTGGTGTATAAACCCAAAAACAGTTAGCGGGAGATAGTGTTATGCAGTCAAAAATTTGTGAAAAGGCAAAGGGATTGATGCTGATCTTGTAAAGAAAAAAAGCCTGAAGGTGCTAATGTTGTGAATTTAAGCCCGCAAAGGCTGGGTTTTGGGGAATTTTGAAGCAAGTGGGTTTTTGAAGATTTAAGAAATGTAGTGGGATACACAGTGTGGTAAGGGATGGCAAGGCTGAATTTGACAAATGTGGGTTTAAATTCATGTATGAATTCAAGGTGACGTAGAGGTGAAGGATTCCCCCCCAACAAGTGTTATTTTTGGGAAAACAGGGCCCCTTTGGAAAAAAATTCAAAAAGGCCCACTCATGCAGGGGGGAAAGGGAGCCAGGACACAAGCCTATGAAAGACAGGCTAACACTCTGTCTGTGCAATGCAGGGGGATTTCAAAATGAAGTCTTTACTGGTGTATCATCTGGGAAAAACCCCTGTGTTCAAGAAAAAGGCACCAAGAGGAAATTTTGTGTGTGTGGAAGGGAAAGTAAGGGGGATGGGTTTCAGGGAAAAATTTTTCCCTTTATTGGGGCAATATGAGTGTTGGGGGCCCCGGTGTGAAGAAATACCTCCTGGAAAATAAATTGCCCTAAAATGCCTCCTGGGAAGGACAATGCTCCCGCTCATCCCCGACTTGGTCCCAAAAGGGGGAGGAGTTTAGTTTCATCACAGTGAGTTCTTTTCCCCCCCAATACCACTCCTCTCATCCAGCCATGGGCCACAGCATTTCAAACTTAAAAAAAAATCACCCAAAGCAATGTTTTAAAGGTGCTTTTATTTACCTCAGACACTGAATTGACCTTTTAAAAAGTTCTGGAAAGATTTACTTCATTATCCTCAATTTCATAAGGTTACAGATAAGGTGGAGGGGGGGGGGGGGACTTCAGGATTTTTAACCTGCTTGGAGAAAATTGGGCCAGAATGTGTCCTCGACAAAGATTTTTAAGGTTTTAGGTGACCATACAACCCATGCCTGTTTTTGGAATGTATTGTGTCTCTGGGGAAATCCATGGGGTTGGATGTGGTGGGGCCCGGATGTGGAAGGTTTGGGGGAGGACCACGTAAAGAGAACCACTGAAGAGGCAGCAGCAACAGGCCACAGCCGAGGAAAAATTTTTCAAGGGGGGGAAGAGAGTGGAAAAAGGTGCCCCTCTTTTAGAGATTAAGGAGTTTTGTGCAATGGGAGTAGGGTCAAAAATCTGTGGAGGAACTCACCAACAAAGTGTTGCAAGCTGCGTCTGCAGTTACAATGACTGTCTTTTCCCATTTTAGGCAAATTTTTAAAAACACCAGAAAAAGAGCTCTTTAACAGTTTTTTACGACTGGGGGTCAGTGACTCTTTTGGGGCCCAGGGCTTAAAAAAAAAAAGAAGGGAAGAAAACCCCCGAAAGGGAAATTGGGACCCAAAGTCTTTAGGAAGGGGGTTCCCTTTCCCCAAAAATATTGTAACTTCCATCCTCTTCCCCCTCCCGTCTTTCCCTA